CGAGGAGACAAAAAATTGACTTTGTTTGGGAAGTAATCTAATTATGTCACTATCAATTGATTAAGCTATTCATTTTCTGTACAATAGACAGTGTTTAAACCCAGAAAGCTTTTAGGGAAACACTTGTTGCGTTAAGCCACGGATGAAGAGTAGCCAGTAGTTAAAGCTTACATTTTTCTGCGTCGGTAGGCCTACTCTGTCTGGGGTGGAAAGGTAGGCCTAACTTTTGTAGTACCATGCTCAGATTCCTAATGACATCTCCGATCTAATTATTTGCAAACAGGGACAGTTTCGTTGCAAACAAGACACGCTGATTTGGCATTTGAGAAATATGATAAAATGAACACATAGGCCTATCTCTCTGTCCATTCTTAGCCTGTAATTTAGGTAATTTGTTTGGTATTTAAAAACATTCTTCTAATATGTAAAATGAAGTAGAATTGCAATGTTTTCTCGGACCTGCAAATACAACGATAGATTCATGCAATGCTTTTACTATAAAGGTGATCTTTCCACCACTACTCTTGTCCACAGTGGTCTGTGAACCCACAATCTTCTGGCCTGCAGCCCTGTGCGCTATCAAATTTCCTCCGTTGCCATCTAATGCTTACAGGACGAAGAACAGTTTCTAAAACGGCATATCTAAGGCTCTGGTCTGTCCAGGAAGTTAAAGTAAACGGTAGGCATGTTCTCTGCTATCCACTTTATGTTTTAATTATTATTTTGGGTATCGTTTTTTTTTTCAAGCGTTCAGGGAGGGTTTAGGTAAAATATATTTTGCTGAAGGGAGGGCCATCCATTTTCATTTCAGAGAGGTCAGATTTTCTCCATGTAACCCTCATTATAAATAATGTTCACTCCCTAAGTGGAATAATACATTTTCCCTGACATCCATGCCCGAGGCAAAGACAGCTGATAATTGTGTAATGTAATGCAATGTTAACTCCATACTGTATATGAGACAGTGATGTGGAGAGCCAGGGAATTCTCAGTGGGGTCATATTTAGAGAGCTGCTCATGCAGTGTGGTAGCAGCTCTCTGGGAAGTAACCTGATAGGCTGTGAAGGAAAATTCAGGCTTTGACCCTGTCACATGCGCAGTGGATCATGAACGGTGTTGATAGCTGTGACACATTAGGCCCAAGGGACCCATGGAAGCTGGGCCGCCCTGTCCTGTTTTGCCCTGTGTGTGTCTGTGGCTCCTGTTACCCACCCGGCCACTGTGCTATAGAACTGTGTTGCTCTAAATGATACATGGCCTTTGTTCATCCTTAACCCAAGAGCACTGGAGACAGCAGTGGATCATGTTTACACTCATTCCCCTAATGAAACATTTAGGCCCCTGATTAGTGGCACACAGGCAGACCTGCGTACAGGAACGTCCCCTTAGAGTGGACTGACAAACATCTGATTACAAAGACTGTATCCTTGGCAGGTTTATGGAGAAAGATTGTCAATTGATATGCAAGGTTGGTCATCATGACACATTATTCAGATTAAGATCAGTTATTTTTCATTTAACAACAGTCACATTATCTAATGACTGTCTATGGGGATCCACAGTCAAGAGGGATTCTAATACATAATCAACAGGTATAGATACAGTATATATGTCTTGCGCATCTGTCCATTTGGTAAAACAGTCATCTGGACAGCGACACTTTTAATCCATAAAAGCCCAGGATTTTAGGCATTTACAACCCACTCAGCACAGTGACCCAATCACAGTTATGCAAACAGAGACATGCCGTATACAGTGCAGTGGACTGGTATCTAGCACATGGGAAATTAGCATGAGAGAACAGGCACAAATGTCTCCAGAGCATGTTTACACTGCTGCTGCTAGAGTAATGCTAAACAGGGTCTAATCCATGATAAAATCATATCTACAACGTGAAACAACAGGATTAGGACAGAGGGAGATTCCTGTAGATCTGATGGAGATTCCTGTGTGGTCATTTGGGAATGATTTGACAGATAAGGATGGAGGAATGTGTCCATGTTTTCATTATTCCATGTTTCCATGTCCACTCTGTGGTAACATAAACTGTCTGTTGATGCGGTTTGTGCATCAAGCCTAACCACTACCATTTTAGCTCTGGATTAAAGGGTAACATTACTCTATGACAAATCATGCACCCAAGGACGAAACTGATCATGGTTCTGTGAAGGGTTGATACATATTGAGGAGCTTATCAAATCAACCTCGTTCTATAAATGACTTTTCATCTGACACTGCAGGAATAGTGGTGGTCAACAGCTCCAACCCCAAACACGCACGCACACACAAAAAGCACCACTCATGAATTAGGTCATTTCATAATACTCTGAGAATATTTAGGGCGGTTTGAAGTTTTCACACCAACCCATACCAACAATTCAGCAATACCAACTTAGTATTGTTAGCAGTGTGTAGGTGAGTCTGACTCTATAATTTGCCCTTGGGAACAGTTTCTGTAGGTGTGGTTCACAACAATTCCTCTACAATGTGAGCAGTTGAGAAGAGACTGGTTAGATCGTGCACAGATTTTCAGCAAACCTTCTGTGCAAGTATTATTTCACTTCTGATATCCCAGACCCATGGGAAATTACATTTACTTGAAAAGGCCTCTGGAGCTGCAGCCAGGGACTTCAAATCATAAGTTCTCCTTTTGCTTTCAGATTTACAGCTTTGTTGACTTAATCTATATGCATCAGCAACATTTCTTATTTTTAATGAGCACAGAGGCAGTTCCAGAACATTGTGCCCCTGTGCTCTATGAATTGCTAAATTGCAAATGCATTCAGCAGTAAATATCACGCATATTCCCAGTTCTGACGCAAACTGCATAGTGTTCTTCAGGTCTACCGCAACATAAAACTATAAAGTGTGTGTGTGAGTGCCCACTGGGCAAAAACTGGTTGAATCAACATTGTGTCCATGTCATTTCAACCCCAAAAAATCTATATGATGACGTTGAATCAATGTGGAAAACTGATTGGAATAGCAAAAAGTCATCAATTTAAGGGCATTTCATATTTTTTTCACCCAACTTTTAACCTAAATCCAACGACATGGTGAAATGTTTTGTTAATTTCATGTTGAATTCACGCTAGTGACGTTTATCCGACGTCTGTGCCCTGTGGGTGTGTGTGTTTGATTGATGATGCTAAATAGAAAAGGTCACTATGTTTTTTAAAATCTTTGGTAGGTGGTTTTGACCAGTCTCATGCTAAAGCCTCCTAGCCAGGACACACAGTAAACACTGACTGGTTTGAATGTAAGTGCCTTACATGAGGTGAGAAGCTGCACCGCTAACTCAATTTGAGAGTGCATGTCTCGGACCAGTTGGCAGGTATGCCAGAGGGTTGGCTCGCTGGGCCCATGGCCTCTTGTTTGCTGTTGCTGATGTGTGCTTGGCCAGCGTCTCTACTATAATTCATTACAGTCTGCAGTAGACAACACTGAGGACCAGTGATGAATGCATTTGCAGCCTCTTACAATGGGGTACGAGGTATTCCTGCCAATTTATCAACTTCTCTTTCTCATACAGCCCCAGCTTTTTGCGGTTGCTTTATTATTGAGGAGTAGGAGGGAGAGGAAGAGGGGTGGCAGTTACATGGTAAAGCACTAACTCAATGTGTGAGGATGTTTTTGTTAGTTGTCAGCCGTTTGCAATGTCCACCCACTGCTTGCATAGGGTGGAAAGTATTATTAGAAATATTATTTGTCTCCACACAAGCATCTATAAAACATAACTACTGTTGTTCTCGCATTCCTATGATTAAAAAAGAACAACAAAAGGTTATGTGAACATGATGTCCATATCCACAGACTAAAGTTTATCTCATCAAACAGATATAATGGAATGGATCCCTGGGCTGTTGCCAGCTTTACCCCGTTTGCCTGAATTATAGATTGTATATCTCAGTTTATCTAAGTAATCCTTCCTCCATCAAACCCAGGGGGAAATCATATTTGCAAAAGGATACAGATACAGTAACATGAGATTGGACAATGTTTGTCATTACAATGTGTTGATGTCCCATATTTATGTAGATCATCATGTTACAGTATGTCCCCCGTGGAACGACCTTGGCTTGGAGACAGTGACAGCTGTGCATGCTTATTTATGTACTGTATCTACTGGTTCATATGCCGACTTAACATATTCATGATGTTTTATGCTGTGAGGCTTTACCTTGGAATTGAATACAGTACACATATTTACATTCACAGTGTTAACATTCACAGTGAGCACACCTGAACTATTGGACCCTAATATTCTAACAACATAGTGTGCTACATGTTAGTGGTTCTATATAGTATTATCTGGTGGGCTATACATAGTCTTGCTTGAATGATTATTATGAATAGACTTCAACAAATAAATAACCTTTGCGATGTCATCTGCATTTTCAAGGACAATATCTAAATAATATTCAAATGTGATGTCAAGCAAACAACATGTGGCTCTTGTTAGTATCTCCAAATACAACAAATGGTGATTGGAGTAATGTGGAGTCAAATCTGAAAGTTGTAAAATATGAATATATTGGATTGCTACAGTGTTTGGTTAGTAGGCTACTGTGTATCCTGTAGTCTGGGGTTTGTTATGTTTCTACCTTGAAAGAGTGGAATAAATGACAATCTCTACAATTAGGCATTGTTTCCCTCTGCATTATGAACACATGAATCCCACAACAATAGCTTCTGGGTTTGGATGTTCAGTCTAATCATCGCCATGTAAGCAGATTTTACCCTTTGTGGGATACACACTCCTGTGGGAGAATTGTAATCCCCTTTGTCTTTTGTTGTTTTCCATATTTGCATGTCGTGCACACATTCTGAGAGTGTCCTTGAGACACAGAGAGAGAGGGGGCCCACACCAACACATCAGTGCCATAACGTTACCTAACTCATCCAGGCAGAAACACAATAGTAAAGGACTGGATGGGCTCCAGCTTCCATACAAACAGCGCTCACTAATTGATTGATTTAGTGAAACATTAATAGACCACCGGCCTGAGGGGAGAGGCAGGTGTTTGGCTTGGACAGTACACTACACACACAGCCATGGCAACATAAATCTCATGCTCAAGCAGAATCATAAACATGAGGTGTTGACTTTCTGTTGTTGTGTTTGTTTTGCTGATGTGGATGAAGCTGCAGACAGTCTGTAGTGAAATGTATCTGAGACCATCCCCCTGAAGGTCTCCCCCTAGAGCCCGTCTCTCATTGTCTTTCATTACTCTCCCTGGCACTGTGGGTTCAGGTTGGGAAAAGAAAGAGGGAGCCAAAATTAGAACAGAGGAAGGGGTTCCTCTTTCTACTGGGAAAATATAAATAGAACACACAGCAATGGCATGGCAGAGGATTTGCTAAAATAATATAATCTTAATGGTGCACGACTTTCCTTTATTTAGGTCAAGCAAGCTGTAAGTAAAGTGACATCCCACTGACGAAGACACTTACCATTTGGAAGCTTGTGACTGTTTTCCTCCAGCCATGCAAACAGGTTGGCAAAGTTGCAGTTGCACACCCAAGGGTTGCCCTCCAGTCTCAACACCCGTAAAGAGGGCAACTGGCTCAGCGCCCCCACCTGAAGGCCAGACAGGGCGTTACGCTCCAGCTCCAGTTCACGCAGGGAGGTGAGGCCCAGGAACGCATCCTCGTTGACCATGCTCAGATAGGGGTTGTTGTCCAGGCGGAGTTTGATCAGGCTACGGGACTGCCCAAAGGTCCCCGAGGGGATCTCAGTCAGGTTGTTGCTGCCCAAGTCCAGAAACACCAGCCTGGAAGAGGTGCTGAGGGTGCCCGGCTCGATGTGGGACAAAGAGTTGTTCCGCAGGTCCAGGTAGACCAGGTCACTGTAGAGCACTAGGAAGTCAGAGGGAATGCGGGGGATACAGTTGTCAGACAGAAGGAGCCTGCGGACATCCAAGGGGATCTCATCAGGAAGACGGGTGAGTCCACGGCCGCTGCAGTCCACAGTGTGGGGATCTGGGCACAGGCAGCTCGTTGGGCAGTTTTCTCCCTGAGCCCATAAGACAGAGGACAGCAAGACAAGGAGAGGATGGAGCCAGCAGACACATGGCAACATGGTCAAGGGGGTAAGAGCAGAGAGGGGCAGAGGAGGCTTGGGGTGAGAAAGAATGGCAAGGGGTGTCGGGAAAGAGAAGCGGGGGTGAGGGTCAGAGGGCGGGAGATTAGGAAAGGGGAGGGGAAGGGGAGAACGAGAGGGGAAAAGGGGGGATCAATCCCTGTGCAGGAGCATCCTGCCGTTCTTGAGATGAAAATCTGAGACAGCTCCGGCATCAGGCAGCGAGAGAGCAGCGTTGAGCGCTGTGTTCCAAGAGATCATGTAGCAAGCAGCCTGGATAGAATAGCAAACTGCTGGCTTTGAAGAAGCTAGGGGAGGGAGATGGCAAGAAGTGGGAGGGAGAGAGCGAGAGAGAGTGATAGAGGGAGAGAGAAAGAGAGCTTAGCAGAAAGAGGAAGGTAGCTTAGCAAAGGTAAATATAAACTATAGAGAAGCAGGAATAGAGAGAAACTGGCGGCACAGACAATGGGGAGGGGGGCTGAGGAGGGGGCTCTGTCCGCCGGGTTAACCCACAGTCGATCTTGGGGGGTTGACTGAGGAGGACGCCTTGGTCTCTGACACAAAAGGATACGCGCCAGGGTAAGTCAGTCTCAGGCAGATCAAGGGAAGAGGGACATTTTTGCATCCCTCCATTTGTCTCTGGTCTCTGTGTGGGAATGCCTGTCGATCTGATCTGCCTGCTGATCTAAAAGGATAGACAATCCCACAGTAACACAGCTTTAGTGTATACAAGTTTTTTTTTTATTCCCTCTCTACCTCCCTGTGCTCTGCAACTCGCCGGCAGAGCAGAGCTCGACAAAACACTCCCCAGCTGGGTCCCGATGCTCTGTTGCTATTGAGAAAGAATCCAAATGTCCGTGGAGAAGTCATATTCATGCAGATGACAGTCCTGAACTTAGCACAGTAGCAGTCAATCGAATGTTTGTCTGTCTCAGAATGTGCCAGGGTTTATCTCATGCTATGAAGGAGGCGTGCCTTTAACATGTTGACAAATTCATGACATGTGATGTCACTTCCTAGTGTGAAAATATTAGGGTTGTTTCCCTCTGATTTTTATTTCTATTACTGATTGTCATGAATTTAGCAAATAAATTAATAATGAAATCTATGATTAATTAATATTCATATTACAAAATACTTTGCATCTTTATGTATTACCTTTTTTATTTGTACTTTGCATATTTTATGCTTTAGCCTTTTGATATCATAGACTAGAATAAAGGGCTTTATACTATGGCATTGTTGAATACTTGTTTCTGATTGGCTTGAAGGGCATTCTAGAGCGTGCATTATTTCCCTTTATACAAAGGGGGGGTCTAATCCTGAATGCTGATTGGTTAATACCACATTCCAGCCGGTGTCTATTCCACGTTACCACCGGCTAAATCTATGACGTTAAAATGCCTATTTACCCTGTTCCATCTGACCGCGCAATCCACTGTCTCATCAGCCCAGCCAGGCAATTTATAAACTTGATCTCCACTATAAAAAGCATCTAGACATTATCTCACGTCTTTTAAACTAACATTATGAATAAACCTTGCTGTCTGTCTCGCCGACATTTGCAACGTTGTTTCAATATTAAAATTCGATCTCCAGCTGTCCCATAGTATTGAGCGAGTCGGGAGTCAGGATGAGATAGACAGCCCTTACAATTTTTTTTTTCAGTTTTGAAACTGTAGTAAAAGCGCAGTAACTGCAATCGACTGTGGTATTTTGGACGCAGTAATTGCAGACTAACTGCAGTTATACTGCACTCTAACTGCAGTTATACTGCAGTGTACTGCAGTTATACTGCACTCTGACTGCAATCTGTTTTCGTAAGGGAGGCAGGAAGCTCCTCTCAGCCAGTCGAAATCATGAATTAGCATCATTTTATGGATATATACAAAGAAGTATCAATAGAAAACAGGTCAAACTAAACAAAGTGCAGCAAATATATACAGTGGCTTGCCATACATCCTGGAATTAAAAAGAATTTTTGGGGGGTTTGTATCATTTGATTTACACAATATGCCTACCACTTTGAAGATGCAAAATATTTTTTTATTGTGAAACAAACAGGAAATAAGACAAAAAAACTGAAAACTTGAGCGTACATAACTATTCACCCCCCCCCCCCCCCCCCCCCCCCCCCCAAAAGTCAATACTTTGTAGAGCCACCTTTTGCAGTAATTACAGCTGCAAGTCTCTTGGGGTATGTCTCTATAAGCTTGGCACATCTAGCCACTGGGATTTTGCCCATTCTTCAAGGCAAAACTGCTCCAGCTCCTTCAAGTTGGATGGGTTCCGCTGGTGTACAGCAATCTTTAAGTCATACCACAGATTCTCAATTGGATTGAGGTCTGGGCTTTGACTAGGCCATTCCAAGACATTTAAATGTTTCCCCTTAAACCACTCAAGTGTTGCTTTAGCAGTATGTCCTGCTGGAAGGTGAATCTCCGTCCCATTCTCATATCTCTGGAAGACTGAAACAGGTTTCCCTCAAGAATTTCCCTGTATTTAGCGCCATCCATCATTCCTTCAATTCTGACCAGTTTCCCAGTCCCTGCCGATGAAAAACATCCCCACATCCCCATGATGCTGCCACCACCATGCTTCACTGTGGGGATGGTGTTCTCTGGGTGATGAGAGGTGTTGGGTTTGCGCCAGACATAGTGTTTTCCTTGATGGCTAAAAAGCTCAATTTTAGTCTCATCTGACCAGAATACATTCTTCCATATGTTTGGGGAGTCCCACACCAAATGTGTTTGCTTATTATTTTCTTTAAGCAATGGCTTTTTTCTGGCCACTCTTCCGTAAAGCCCAGCTCTGTGGAGTGTACGGCTTAAAGTGGTCCTATGGACAGATACTCCAATCTCCGCTGTGGAGTTTTGCAGCTCCTTCAGGGTTATCTTTGGTCTCTTTGTTGCCTCTCTGATTAATGGCCTGGTCTGGTCTGTGAGTTTTGGTGGGCGGCCCTCTCTTGGCAGGTATGTTATGGTGGCAAATTCGTTCAATTTTTTTATAATGGATTTAATGGTGCTCCGTGGGATGTTCAAAGTTTCAGATATTTTTTTATAACCCAACCCTGATCTGTACTTCTCCACAACTTTGTCCCTGACCTATTTGGAGAGCTCCTTGGTCTTCATGGTGATGCTTGCTTGTCCATTACATGAAATCCAAATAAAAATCCATTTAAATTACAGGTTGTAATGTAACAAAATAGGAAAAACGCCAAGGGGGATGAATACTTTTGCAAGGCACTGTATATATATTTTTTTACTTGTTCATTATTTTCCATTGAACGTATAGCCCCCTCATTCCTTCTCCCTTACATAATCACTGAAACAATACAAAAATTACATCCAGGTTAAAAATAATTTATATTTCAATAATGAATGTCATTGTTTTATTTGTCCTCCCTCAAACTGAATATTACTTCACTGTCCTACAGTCTTAATCCCTGAGTCTCTGACAATGACGAGACAATGCTTTGATAGACAGCCTCACAGTTACATCTCAATTTTCAAGAAAATCTTGTCCGAAGGTGACAGACAGCGTTACATTATTATTATCCCTGAAAATGGAAAAAGTCTCAACTGTGACCTTTTCAAAAACTGCACATAAAACCTTCGTCCTTGTTTGCACTGCGAGCTGAACGTCAGCACTTTATGTCAGCTCGGGTTATACAATGATCATTTTGATGCACTGTCACAGTAGATTGCACTACAACTGCATGATGGGAACAAATATTTTTTTTTCTAACAGCCATCGAGCCGATGTGTGGCTACAATCTATATCCTTAATAGTAAAACACAAAGGGACCAGTGACTGCGTCTCAAACCACAACAGTGGAACAGGTTTTAATTCAGAATCTCAATTAGATTTCCCCAATGGGATCTGTATCAACAGGCAAATGGAATTAGACCAAGGATGTAGCACAGGGATAGAGTGGAGTGGAGGAGCGGGAGTCCTGAGAGACATGGAGGGAGATGGAATAGTAAAAGGCTCTGTCTGATGGGATGTAATGGGAGAATGTGGAGTATATATCAATGGGTAAATAGAAGCACTGCCTGCCTGAGCCATTATTACCAGTAGTGACCCTCTGTAGTAATTCCCAACCTTAGGATCATCATAACATAAGAACCTGTTTCTGTATGTACAGAAAACATTGTGTTTGGCAATGCAAACAGCTCCAGTTGTCAGTGAATAACAGCAACTCACATACAGTATACCTCGTCATCCGTAAACCAATGTCTCACATCCCTGCTTTAGGGTGTGAGCTGAAGTGAGATGTGTTTGCTGTAAAGCACACCTGTGATATCGCTCAGGGCAGGAGAGCAGCTTCTTCATCAAAATAACATATTTTCTACCTATTCCAGCACCATGATAGAGCGTTTCATATTGTGCTCTGCAAGGGAAAAGCACATCTCTGTTATACCCTAACTGCCAGGCTTCATGGCGGCTGGGCATTCTTTCATTACTAAACTGGTGACTTGTGTGAAGACTTGCCAGGCAGAGGATCTATGAGAAGCATTACTCAGCCTGTGGTCGGCTAACCATCTCTGTATTTACAGCCAAGCCAGACATTGCATATTAATAGTGCTTTGGTTCTATGTAGGATTTAGCGCCGCTGTAGGATTTAGCGCCGCTATGATATGTTAGTTATAACACTAACAGGTTTTATATCATAGATACGGAATTAGCTGACTCACTGTTGCCTTTTTTGTTTGTTTTGAACCAGAATTTTAGTTCTAGACAGACTCAAGACTCAAAGTGATTTATTCTTCTAAATTGCAGAATCCAGGCTGTATGAGTGTCATTTCCAACAGTAATTTATTTTTAATCAACATGTTTAATTACTATATTCATGAGTGTGTTTAAGACATCCCTTCCTCCCATCCTGTTGTGGCATGTTTGTGCCAGCTGAGTAATTGCCAAGCAGCTCAGAATGAAATGGACTGAGACAGAGAGACTTAGTTAAAATGGAGAGGTTTCCAAATTGAAATGCATGTGGAGCACCACTCCTAGCAGGTATAATGGCTTCCAACTCCCTGAGGAGAGCTGTTCTGTTGATGTTCAGTCGTAAACTGTTATCTTGTGTGTAAATTCAGGTCTGCTGGCTGTCTAACTCAGTGCATAAGAGCCAGGTTGAGTAATAGGAAACTTCGAAGGGTTGATTTAGGTTTGAAATGAGGCCCGATTACCATAAGATGTCAGTATAATTAGCACTAGGCATAAACAACACCATCAAAGTGGTCATTGAGGCCCACCTCTTCTCTCTTTCTCAGTGTGATAATGGTGGTTGAGTGTGGTAACTAGAGAGTGATGGGGCGGGGCTTGAAGATCTTTATATTGGCTGCCAGATGGAGGGAGATGCTGGAGTGTATTTGGGGCAAGTCTACTCTAAGGCACAAATAGGCCAGTCACATTCTGCGGATATAATTTGGCAAAGTCCCTACTTACTTTTCACACTATGAGTTTATTAATATTCCAACTCCACTGTATCTCTCTATTATGCAGTGTGTGCCTTGAGCATAGGATGATTCAGGATGATTAATGTAAGACTTTTTGTGTAACATCATCATTGGCTTCAAATTCCACTCCAAATCTAAAAGATGTGAGATGCTATTTAGTCTGTAAAAAATCAAGTCTGCACGAAACACCACTTTCCTGACAGCTGCTAGCACAAACCGATCCCTCAGTATTTAGACCAATGTCGAGTCACTGAGGTGTTCAAAGTAGTGGAAATACAACCTGAGAGAGAAATGTAAGCCCGGGCTTCAGCAATCACTGACCTTGTCTGCGAGCACCAGCATTGATCCAGGTTTACCTCGCTGCTTGTCCTGGGGGATTAATTTTGAGAAATAACAGTGTGGATATCAAGGACCTTACCATTAATGTCAGCCACAGCTGCGCTACTGAAGACTAAATGTATCATTGCTATTGCTGCTTATGCAGATAAATGAATCCCAATCCAGATATATTAAAACAGAGATGCTGTCTTGAAATGGCTATGAGTAAAAACAATGTGTGGTTGTCTGTACTGAATACTACACAAAATGTGAAAATACAATCTTGTCCATACTTGATTAAGGGGATTTTCACATTGACAAATCATTGTATCTCTAGGAATTCGTAGTTCAGCATCTCCCACAATGACATCTCACTATACTTCTCACTATCCAAGGATTAGACCAGAGGTTGTGCTTGAAGGGATCTTCAATCAGACACACACCAATCAAAGCCCTCCTCCACCCCACTCCAAGTTAGTGCATAATGACTGCACATCCTCCCTCTCAGCCTATAAGCAGAGCAGGTAGTAGTGAGTAGTGAGTAGGGAGTAGGGGGTAGTGTGTGGAGAGGGACAGGATAGGAAAACCCAGTTAGGCGGCAGGCAGGCAGGCAGCTGAGTGTCACCAGGGTTATATAACCCCAGCATTGAGCACAGCCCAGCGTGCTGAGTTAGTAAGTGTGGGGCCGAGGCAGGAGGGCCTTCCTTCCCCACAGTTAACCACTGTGAGAGGCTCTCCACCTGCAATTAAAGCAAGGCACATTAATAAATGATGAATGTCAAGCGCAGCGTGCTATTTGGCTTTGCTGGTGCCCCATGTTGGGTCTTTGCCATTGCAGGACGGGGGGGGGGGGGGGGGGGGGGGGGGGGGTATGGAATAAGTAGGAACAAGGACAGCAGGTAGCGGGTTTATAGGCACTACACAGCAAATGTCACCTCCCTTTGAACACTTCTGGGAATGTAATGGACAGACATTCAAGATGCAGGGGCAGCTGTCGCGTCTTAAGCTGTCCGTTGGCATTGAGTAATCTGGTATGTTTGCCATGTGCCAGGCCAGGAAGGGAGGCAGGAGAGAGGTGTGGTCTGTCAGGCAAGGGCACAGTGGACAGAGAAGCCCGGGCACATCTGACTCCCCATCATGGTGATATGAGCCAGAATCACCCAGACATAACCTGTGTCCTCAACAGTGTCCGGATAAGCTACCCCTGGTTGGCTGTCTGTCACTGTGGTAGACCCCACACAACCTAGAGCAGAACACAACAGAACAATAAGGAACACCACAAACTGCCTGTCACACCTCATCTCCTTAACTAACATGCAATAAGAGATTGAGATTTGAACATACAAAGTCCCATACATTAAACAAATGTTTTGGCTTATCTGGACTGCCTGCCAAAATAAGAATGATTGTGAGTATTTGACTTGCGTGACTAGTGATCCTCGTGGCTGTGTGGTTCCTTCTTTAGACACATTAGCCAGCCAGCCACAGGCGTGGGAAACGACAGCCCAGCCCCAGTTATTAAGATGATTGTTTCAGGCTCTTTATGATGAGTGCAGCCAAAGTCTCTGGATCTCGGTTTGCTCTTTCAGATTGCTGGTAGAAGAATATCCAGTCCACTGCATCCCAGAATTGAAATCGTGTTAGTCTATGCATACCAGCACCTCCAATCAGATTGTTCAATGACTCAACAATGCTTTCCAATGTTACTTTACCTGAAACCTTGAGCTGTAGATAGGAAGTAAAAACGTGATACGTGCTAAGTGTTACATTTCACTAGTGCCTTGAATCTGTTTTCTAACATATATAACATTTATTATATTGTTCTATGTTCATCTGTTATTTTGAGCGCCATGGGTATAGCAGTTCTTGTTACATCACAGTCTAGATGATAGATGTGCATACACATCTATTTACACGTATAATTAATGAGAATATGGTGAAAAGGCACACCATCTGGTACATCCAGGACTCCAGTCAAGTGGAAGCAGGATCAGATGTTTACTGTAGTGCCAGTTTGACACACGCTGTACATTGCTCACTGATTTCATACGGATTTGTGGGAGAGTACTATATGCCCTATCATCCATTTGGTGAGCCGTAAAGATTATACCATGTTCTATATGACTGGAACCTCTCTGACTCACTTAGTCACTTATGCACTCTTAGATTGTAAAGCGTGATGACATATAAGAGCTGCTGCTATGTCACAGGGCAGAATAAGAGCATTCGATCAGTATCAATTTAGCTTCCCATTTTTGTATTTTATAGCTACTGTGCAACACGTATGGTTCAATATCAATATTGCAGCTTAATGAACAGCCAGTGTGTGTGGTTGTGTGTATACTGCAAGTTTGCATGTGGGATCGGTTGGCAGTGCCTTTTGGACGGCTCTGCAAGTAATCTGTCATTGCTCATTCTGCAGAGGTCACAGCCCCTGTCAGGTGTGCATGCAAGCCAGTTGCATGCAAGCATGATGAAATGTGTGGGTAAGAGCAACGTTAAGGTCCTGGGTTCAATTCCCACACGGATCACATTCACATACTGAAAAATGAATGCAGTCACTATACTGTCAATCTCCTTGGATAAAAGCATCTGCTAAGTGGTATAAATTAATATGATTATATTACATTACTCTTTTCAGAATAATTAATTATTCAATGAATCAGAAGGTGGCCTTCTGCTGATCTCTAAATCAACTGTAACTTTAAATAAAATATATTTTCGTATAAATCTTGTTATAATATAACTGTGTTTTTTTCATGCTTGGTAAACTTTTTTAAATGTTGTTGCATACATGTACATGCCCTTCCAGCTCTACCTACCCAAGTAAACTGCTGAATAAGACAACTGTTTGATACTGCCATACAGCACCTAAACCTATGATTCAGCAGGTTTTGAGTGCACATGAATATGCCCATGGTTAAGTCTTGCTGAGTCACAGCATTCTAACAATCATGACACTCTCATGACGTGTTCAATATTTTGCATCTTCTAGGAAAATAATGCTTCAGTTCATGTGTCTTACAACACAAGCTCTGTAACACAGGAAAACTGAGACTGTGTAAGGATAATTGTGGTCCTCAGGACTCCATCAAGAGGTCCTGATCCTTTTGTAATCAGTGGCCGTGGCAGACGTTAGTCAAGGGAAGCTCACGACACTCATCCATCCCTCTAATACATCCCTGTAACCTCAGGAACGAGCAGTGAGTAACCAGGGCTTTCTAAGTGTGTCATCTATCAACATGTCTAATACTTGGAGTGGGTGGAGATAGTGACTCTAGTCACCCTACAGGAACCCTGAATACAGCGACAAGTCGTACTGTACTATAAGGGGGAGAGGACAGCTTATATCTACAACTTTCCTTGCTCTCAACTCTGTCACGTTGTTTGCCACTCGTGGAAGTGTGCACAGCGCGCCTGTCAACCTGTGACTCTATAGTGACTTGTCAACGGCCAACACAAAACTACCTTTCTTTGCCAACTGCCAGGGCAGATGAGATGGTTGGTTGGTCGCAGGGTATAATTACCCCTACACAACAGAAAGTGCCTCTCACTCCCTCTCAGCTGTTCTTTTGGTGGATGTGTTTATGTGGTGATGATGTTTTAACTTTGGCCTAATTTTGTTACCATCTGCACATGGTGTCAGCACGAACAGAACATTTACTGCAATGTCACAGTAACCTTATCAGTGAGGTAATGTGCAATGTCAATCATGGGGTGTTTTTAGTTCTCTCTCCCTGAAATAATTGGTTCTTTGAAATATGAAGTGAAAATTATTTGTTTTGTTCAACAATGAAGTTTGTACAGATCACATTGACCCCTTCTCCTTCGGTAGTATGAAGTGTACTCTTACTTTGCATGACAGTGTTTCTAGGGATGCTGGTTGTGCTGGATGGGTGACATTTGGAGGTCATGGTGACAGCCTGAGGCAGGCAATCACCTTTCCGCATCTTTTTATGATGATAGTATACTTCAATCAGAGTCCCTGTTGCCACTTTAACCTGCATGAGTAGCTGAGCCACAATGCCAAGTCATCCTTCATTCCTTCGAACAATGGGAAATAGCCAGAATTAGAGAGAAAACCCAAGGACAGCTCTAGCCCCATTGTCCTCTGGATCGGTGGACCTCAACCCTGGCATGAAAAGGAACGGGAAGTCTACATCTGAAGATTAATCTAAGAGGTATCGAAGGGTTTTATGGAAAACATTCAGTACAACTGTCGGTATCTCATTTCAATAACTTTTGGTAATTAGTCACATTAAAGCAAGGGTACTGTGGATCAGCGACATAAAGTTTAATGACCCTGTATCCAACTGGAAGGACAAACTGACTGACAGAATCGATTTCCTAATTCGACTGCCCCCAGAAGGCTCACATGGGGAGTGCTGGGTCCAGATTGGGCCACTCTAAAGACAGGACTTCTCACAGCTCTATGGCCACTTTCTTCCTGTTTTGACAACCCCAAGACAAATCACTGCTATTAAACCAGCTAGAAGTCAGATCCTCTGTGTCAAAGCTGCTACATTTGAGGTCAAGAGTATTAGTCATCGGCCAACCCATCCATCCGTCAAGCCCTATCTCTATATGTGTACATATTTCAACAAGCTCGACTATTACTTAAGCTGCATTCATGTATATTTCATTAAATGAGCCCTCTGTACATATTCCTGTTCATCCAAGTGAACAAAATGTAACAGGAAAGAACATTTGAAACTATAAAGGGATGCAAACATGGTATTGGCAACTATTTTTATAAGGTACACGGCCGCACATGCACGAGAGAGAGAGAGAGAGAGAGAGAGAGAGAGAGAGAGAGAGAGAGAGAGAGAGAGAGAGAGAGAGAGAGAGAGAGAGAGAGAGAGAGAGAGAGAGAGAGAGAGATCAACATTACTGATGTGTGCCACTAACTGACAAAAGGGTCAAGAGGTCCAGCTGAGAGATGGCTTAAAATGATGACATCGTTAGCGTTATGCCACCAGTGATGCAGGCAGAGGGCACGCAGGGTGGCACTGCAGGGTGGAGGGACAGAAATAACAGCACTCTATAAACATCATCCTCATTCCCTCCATCAGCAACACAGTCACAGAGCACCCTGCCACTATGTCTCACTGACCATCCCCATCAGAACAAACAGCTCTTCAGCATTACAATGAACACGTGACCTGTAATAATACAAGAGTTGTTATTTTCCGACACAAAATACGTGCTCCTGTTTCAAATCTCTGTGAACAAAGCATTAGAGAGGGATCAGTACATTCTTAGAAAAAAAGGTGCTATCTAGAACCTAAAAGGGTTCTTCAGCTGTCCCCATATGAGAACCCTTTGAAGAACCCTTTTTGGTTCCAGGTAGAACCCTATTGGGTTCCATGTAGAACCCTTTCCCCAGTGGGTTCTATATGGAACCAAAAATACTTCTACCTGGAACCAAAAAGGGTTCTCCTATGGGGACAGCCGAAGAACCCTTTTGGAACCCTTTTTTCTAAGACTGTATATCTCACTCAGACAGAATATATCATTCCCCTTTTCAAAGGCACATTAACTTTGAAGCAGCTAATGAAAGAAAATGTTTCTCAACCATGGCAAGTTGAAGCAGTGAGATAGTTGCTACGGAGATAAGTCCTCTGAGCGTGAGTTGTGACCTACACGTCATTTAGTATTCCTCCCTCTATCCCCATTCCCCTCAATCCCTCTTTCCACCAGCGTCACAGGTCATGTGACAAGGGTACAACACCAGCCACACTCCTTCACTGCCTGTCAAGGAGGACAAAGACAGTGACATTGCTTTTTTCAAAGTCATCCCTTCACATACGACGAGTGGGAGAAAATATTTTTGAATGACACCAAAGACGTCTCCCTCCTGTTCGCAGCAAGTCAGCAAGTGTAAGAACGTTCTGTCAGCACATGCCGTGGCCAGCATCCTTCCACACACACACACACAGACACTTGTGGAGAAACGTGATGACATTTGAGCTGTGTGTGGCATGTCACAAATTCCCCAACCGGGCCTGAAAGCCACATCTGAGCAGGTGATGGATAGATTAAGTCCAGGGTGACATTCAGAGAGTCTGCCCCTGTGAGTGGATTAAACACACACACACACACACATACTATAGACACTTGCACACACTAATACATATCCTTAAGATATAATATCAGTGTGTCCAGGAAGTCTGACACAGAAATGCATAATATTTTCCATACATTGTAAAAGTAACTCAGTGAGGTCTAAAAATAGGTTAACGAGGTGAGGTAGGAGTTACTCAATCAGTTATCACAACTAGCAGATAGCCGATGTCTCCCACATGAAAAATACTGTTGTATACTATGGTATAAATAGCAGAATTTGAGTCCACAAAAACAATACAGTGAATACTGTAGTATTTACTGTATGTAGTCTTGTGGACATGACAGAAGTATATTGTAGTATTTACAGTTTACTATTGGATAAATACAGTAGTAAAAATAAACTGTAGTATATTCTATAGTAATTACTGTAGTGTTTTTGTAGATTGTAGTATACTGTAGTAGTTACTATAGTGTTATTGCAGACTGTAGTATGCACTGTAGTGTTTTTACAGACATTACTGTAGTATTTACTATAGTGTTTTTGTTTGATTGTCTTTGATATAGAAGTGGAGTCTTTCTCCTTGAGGAAACCTACTGGACAAAATACTCAAAAAGCACATTTTCCATAACCTGTAGGTAGGTAGGTAGGTAGGTAGGGCTGAGGTCTGAATGGATAGTTCAGAGCTTCTGCTCTTTTCTATTACCTGAAGGGAATAGAATATATGGTCTAAACTTGGCAAGTAGGTTTCTCACTTATGGGTGGCACAAATTGGGACATGGGGAGGGGAATGGGCAGGGTATATGCAAATTAAATACTGTAGTATATACTATAGTAAGTACTGTAGTGTTTTTGCGGACTGTAGTGTTATTGTAATATTTACTGTAGTGTTTTTGCTGTCTGTAGTATACTGTAGTATTTACTATGGTATTCTACAGTATACTACAAAATTATATAGTAAGTACTACACATGAACGAGGGATACTACAGTGTGTAGTATAGTGTTCTACGGTATACTACATAATTCTACAGTAATGTCACCAAGAGATAACCTTTAATAGCTTCTCACTAACAGAATCAAGATTACTGTAGGTGTATGTATGCGCGTGTGTGTGTGTTTGGGCATGTGTGTATCTATGTGGGTGTATTTCTGAGAGAAGGGGCGTTGAGGTGTCTGATTATGAGTTAAATTGAAGCTATGAGATAGAGGCAGCGGGATAGCAAGGGCAGAGAGCAGGACTTCCCTGGAAACTTCTCCCTCTGCCCAGATCAGTCAAAGCAATTCAATCCATCACCTCCCCTCATCTCATCCTCTCCACCGCCTGTCTCGGTCTCCATTCTGTCCTTAGGGTGTGATGGATGGAACAAGCTAGGCGTGCTGTTTGTTCCTGCTTGATACAGGCAAAGAGGGAGGAAGACCCCCTCCCCTCTTCCCCCGCCCTGCCCCCGCGCCCATGGCCCTTGGTCTGTCCTCATCACATCCCCCTCCCCTCCACCCCATCCTTACTTTTAATGAGTTTGCTGACAATTATCCTTGTTGGGAAGGTCCTCTGGGCCAATAGCCTCTCCTCATCAACCTACCTTCTTCCCGTTTGTTCTGTTTAGTAGGAGAAGCATGGTTACTTTTTCATACAACAATTATTAAGGTACCATGTTTTTAGGTATTATTTTGTTGTTCTGTTTTCCCCGCATGTTTCACAGACTTAATCTAACATGTACAGTATTATTTGTTTTTTGAGCTTGATACTACTCAAGATGGACTAGTCCATGGGAGAATCTCAAGTGCATACTTTTCGCATCCTCTCTCCTTCTCAAAACCCATTGGATGAGAAAGCCAGAGGTCCCACCCCTTTGACCTTCTCCTCCAATGGGTTTTGAGAAGGAGGTGAGGAGAAAGGAGAGAGGACACCAGGAGTATTCAATTGAAATTGTCACCATGGACCAATTCATGAGCAGTGGATATCTCACACGGCTAAGTTTTGATGTTCAATAAGTCAACATTGCTGATCATATACATGATTATCAGCTGGGCAGCTTAAAGATTGAGATAATAAATCATATTTACACACCCGATAATCTGATCTCCACTTTATATAACCTATAACAACTTCACTAAAATCCTTCACCTGTGGTCAAGGATGCCCAGATGGGTGGCTTGATGTCACTGTCATATTTATAATGATTTCCAATCAATCATCTGTCTGTACTCAATAATAATAACAATTATTTAGATTTACAATAATAAATGCCCAGGCCATGTCATATCGGAGGAGAGGAAATGTGACCTGTGATATGACCTGTGACCTTTGTCAAATCATAGACGGGTCCAATAATCTACTGGGACTTCAGGATACACCTCACTGCCTCCTAAAATATTCTACCAGTGTCAGCACATGTCCAGGGGGAATAGGAGTTGAGGGATATTACTTGGGTGGCTTTGACATTTATCTGCCATGTTTGATTGATGTCCCCCCATGCCTTTCCACTTTTCCTTAAAGCCCAATGTTAGCTTCATTTTTTTTGTTGACAAATCTCATCAGATCAAACTTGACAATAGCAGCTAAGTTGTGAAATGTTCTGGATAAGCAATTAAAGCAGAAACGGTTGTCTCTTCAATTTTGCAAAATGGAGTCAAGTTGCAAGATGTCGGCATTTTAGTAGACAGACCTTTGCTTGGAGATCAGATGGAAAGCAAGAGAGAGAGGGAGAGAAGGAGAGAGAGAGAGAGAGAGAGAGAGAGAGAGAGAGAGAGAGAGAGAGAGAGAGAGAGAGAGAGAGAGAGAGAGAGGAGAGAGAGAGAGAGAGAGAGAGAGAGAGAGACCAAGAGAGCAGGGATATACTGCCCCCTTGTGCTCTACCACTGTACGGTTTCAGGCCTGTAATGTA